TTGCTTTGTGGTTAACTGTTCACTCCAAAACACTCCGAAAAAGGAGTGCGTAGATGAAATGTTCATCTCCTCCGAAAGAGGAAGTGCTGAGAAAGTCCATCTCCTCCGAAAGAGGAAGTGCTGAGAAAGTCCATCTCCTCTGAAAGAGGAAGTACTGAAAAAGTTCATCTCCCCTGAAAGAGGAAGTGCTGAGAAAGTTCATCTCCTCTGAAAGAGGAAGTGCTGAGAAAGTCCATCTCCTCTGAAAGAGGAAGTGCTGAGAAAGTCCATCTCCTCTGAAAGAGGAAGTGCTGAGAAAGTCCATCTCCTCTGAAAGAGGAAGTGCTGAGAAAGTCCATCTCCTCTGAAAGAGGAAGTGCTGAGAAAGTCCATCTCCTCTGAAAGAGGAAGTGCTGAGAAAGTCCATCTCCTCTGAAAGAGGAAGTGCTGAGAAAGTCCATCTCCTCTGAAAGAGGAAGTGCTGAGAAAGTTCATCTCCTCGAAAGAGGAAGTGCTGAGAAAGTCCATCTCCTCTGAAAGAGGAAGTGCTGAGAAAGTCCATCTCCTCTGAAAGAGGAAGTGCTGAGAAAGTCCATCTCCTCGAAAGAGGAAGTGCTGAGAAAGTCCATCTCCTCGAAAGAGGAAGTGCATAGTTTGCTACATAGGCCTTTAAAAGGACCCATATAAGGATTTATATGTTATACATCCTTTTTATAGAAAAAAGCGTTAAAATATACGATACATGACTATGGCATACAGAGTTTTAACACAGTTTTTAACATATTTAAGCTTTATATAATAAAATACATTGTTCCATTTCTTCAACAGTGGAATGGTAACTGTTTTCCTCCCTTCCTTTTGTCTAGTCCTTGCAGCTGAAAAGGTAGAAATAAATGAAAACAAGTTTTTGGTCATCAAGTTTGTCTTAAACATATTGTATACTAATGTTTCATAAAAGGCATATTTACCTGAATCACAAACACAGTGACAGTGAAGTCTCTGCAAACTGCTGAATCATTTATAGGAGGTGTTTTGAAATTTGATTTCTTGGCCCAACTTCGCATTGGGGAGAAAACTCCCAAATCATCACCTTGGCCAAAAGTAAACAAAGTATTTACTGTTTGACAACATTATGCAATATAGCGTTAGTCAACACACGTCCTCTGAAGTTTGACTAAGTCTTTCAAAACTGCACACATGCTTCTGAAATATGAATCATTTTTGACATTTCAAGTCTTTTAAGCAAACGATTCACACAGTATTGCCTCGAACAATGTCATCAATAACAATGACACAATATGAAAAGTGAAGTATCGTGTTTTTCCATTAAGTATGTTTCGCTTTACAAACAAAATAGAGAATATTGTTTACACAGTTAAAAGTGCTTTTACATTCAAATTAAACACAAGGGTTTGATAACATCTGACAGGTGTATAGGACAGATGTCTTTCTTCCCTTTGAAGTCAATGCTTCAGATAAATAATATGCATCATGCTGGACCTGCAAGTTAGAGATGCTGATAGTTATAAACCACATGACTCACAATAACATGATGAGAACTTGATAACATTTTGCACGACTCACCTCCAACATCATGTGGAGCTGCATGTGGTTTTGCTTGTTTCCCAGACCACTGCACACATCACTTCTCAACAGTGATGCGTACATGAAGAATTGACACAATATTAAATTATAAAAAATATTATGATGCTTAAAAATATGGGACATAACTACTTTTGTATGAATTAAGATATTTGCTGTATTTGATATAAACTTAACACAAAAAGTAAGGAAATCTGTGTTTGGTAGATTATTTATTTGCAGTAACAATGCTTCTTGGCAATAAATGTTTACCGTTGTAAAACCTGTTTATTTACCTTTCAAATGGTGCCACACTTGTGAGGAACATGCATCTGTGGGATGAGCAGCAGAGCTGAGTATGTGGGTTGCGCCCAGGAAAAATGTGACAAATCTCTGCTGCCAATGCCATAATAAAAAACGTTGCACTTTCAGTTGATTAAAGCATCACAACACTTGTGCTACCTTCTGCTAGAAAGGATATACAATAGACTCATGTATATTGATACTGCTGCAATATTTTGGTAGCACCTAGTTGGTTTAGTAGATTGACAAATAAATGAGGAAGTCTCAAGTGGAAACTTTTTTCAAATATCTGTTCTAAGACCGTCTTAAACAACCCTACGCAGTCATATCTGGAATCTATTCTTATTCTATTATAAACAAATATTAGTAACATCTTCATCTGTAACTGTGCAGAAGTACTGGGTTTTAACTTGTTAGAAGTAAAGGCCTCTGGTCACGCAACAAAACCCAAATAGGTTTATCAAACTTTTTGAAGAACTAGTTTTTTGTTAGATCAATGTACTGTATGTTCACCTTTTACTTGACATTAAAACACAAAGGTTATTTAAAACACTTTACATTTGCAAGCTAAAGTTAAACAGATGTCAATCAAATGTTGTTCAGTTAACCTGTTACAACTAAAGGACCAAAAAGCATGTTCTACCTTCAGGGCGTCAACAACAGGCGCCTCCGTTGTACTTCCATCATACCAAAGGCAGCTTTATTTCGCAGGGGCTTCAGCAGAGTGCTGTTGGCTCGTCTGCTTCTGCACCTTCCCATGCAGTCGCTCCTGATGGAAGGTCAAGATGGCTGTTCAATGCAAGGATAGCCACCGTCCCACACAATGAAATGCCCTAAAAGAGAGTACAGAGCCATACTATTCCAATACAAATACAATAGTATGTTTATTCAAAATATTATTTATATCCATCAAAAGTTACTTATTCTTAGATTTACAATTCTTACAACTTATATTTTAATAAAAAAACAATGAATGAACCCAAACCTTCCAACAAAGTAAATGACTGCAAATTAAACTTGTTATTTATTTAACTTTTCTAACTACAAATATCATGCATTCTGTTCATGCTGCACTTTATTATTTAGGGAAGAAAAAAATAATACAACTAGTGAGTTGGCTGGTCTTCATAAGCTTTACTCCAGGTTTAACTGCCAACTGAATAGTGAAACTTATATACCGAAGATGCGTTTGTACCTTTCAATCAGAATCAGACAAATGAAAATACACAATACTAATGCTGTTTATTAAATAACAAATAGCTAAGTGAGTGGGTAAAATGATACAAAACCCTACACAATTGGGCACAGATGAATGGGAAGAGCTTACTGTTGAGGTAGTCCTGGGTCCAAATGGCATCTTGACAAATATATGACACCCGTCACCCACACACCTCTCAAAAGACGGGGCTTTGGCCAGCTGCTGGAAGAATTGCTCCTTCTCCTTCAGTTCTGGGGCAGCGGGAAGTTGAACCGCTTAACCGAACACCTTTGCAGACCGGTCTGCAGACTGTGTCTCTGGGATCTTGAACAGCCCGGGACACCACACTGTATGATAATAAACTGTGTTCTAGCCAGTACAGTGTATTAGCATTATGTAGTGTCCAAAGGCCTGTCTCCTACCAGCGTGCAGGACGTAGTGTTTATCATGTAAATGTGCAGCATAGGAACAATAATGTTGAGGTAAATTGATGCTTGTGGATTTTTAGCTGTTGAAGGGCACATGGGTCAAAACAGATAATTTTGCACAATTTTGTTTTCAATTTTTATGACAAACATGTTGTATGTCTGATATTCTAAATAAATAATGTGTCCTTTTGGAAGGATCATGTCATGTTTTGATAATTAATTGTTCATGCCAACATGGGAGAATTGTTTACCCACATGTGGGAATGTTCTTTTCAGTTTGTATACCATATTTAACTGAATATCCTTGTGTGTTGACTGATAAGACATTTCAAGTCATCCCCTTTGGCTTTTGAAAGACTGGGATAGACATTTTTCACTCTTTTAATAAAGTAGTGAACTTTTAGATATACAGTACGTATGTTCACATAAAAAAGAAACAATGCAAATATCATAAATATGACATCACACATTTTCATAGCTATTCGGTCACATCAAACATTATCAGTGCACCTTTTTTTTAATCAATATGCATAAGAAAAAGAAAGCACTACAGCAGACTGCAGAGCGCCAAAACAGGAAGGAATAAATAATCTCAAACATGCAGCGGCAGGCCTAAACCAGTGACGTGCGGTGAGGTTCATGGCTGGTGAGGCACTGACTCTTTCAGTCAGATTTACAAATATTATATTTTGACCTTAATCGAAATGTTCGGTTATTTTCAAAAGCTTTTTTAGTCTGATGCTTCGATTCATTTTAAACAGACCGTTTAACAAAAGGATACCCAACATCTAAATATTGGATTATTCTTTCTTAGTAAGATCCCATTTTCATTACAATTGTGGTCCTACCTTGACTTGAAGATAAAGTCCATGCTATCCTTCTGGACAACAATCTCCATTACATTTTTGTAAAAGTCCTCCTTATCTTCCTCTAGTTTCAAAAGTCTAGCTTGTTGTTTGCGTCTGCGTAGAATAACAGTAGCAACAAGAACCTGTGGGCTCACGTGCGCCCCCTTCAGTGCGGCAGAGGTTATGGCTGCCTCTCCTGGTGCTTTTTTCATTGCCGTTGTATGATGAGACCAGCGGGCCTAAATATCATATATACGTGAAATAAGTTATTTAGAGACTATGAATGGCGAGGATAAATGTAGAGGGATCTACAAACATTAAATTGGTGACATACAGTGAGATGGTGCAGGCATGCGCTTAGGGTCCGCTTTCCAGCCAGTTTCTGTTGGGTGACGCATTCTGAGGTGAGGCAAATCTCATCTGTGCCTCACCTTACTAGGCCATAAGGTGAACCCTGTTATCGTTTCATCCCGCTCCACAGAAGTGGAACTACACAATCTTTAGTTCATAAAAAAGAACGAGTCATGCTTATCCACCAAAAAAAAGTTTGTCGCTAAAATTCCTGTCAATTCTTCTAGGCACCGGTATCAACAAAAATATTTGGAAAAAATGGCGACCGCCATGGTTTCATCGAGCAGCGGGGACGAGGAAAACGCACCAGAAAGTCTCAAAAAGTCAAAATTATCAACACACAAACATTGTTACATGCATATTACGTCTGTGAAGCACGAAAAGGTTGATTATTTTACCAATACAAGATGGAATACGTACAGGACAAGCTTACAACGGTGGCTCGGCTTGAAGGGAGACTCTCGGAACGTGGTGGCTGAAAACCACAAGCACTGTCTTGATTTCGAGTTCGAAAATATTCCTGAGGACGCTGGCTTCCACCACACATGCTACAGAAGGTTTACCGACAAAAAGGCCATGACGAAGGTGGAAAGACGGCTCGCACGTGAGGGAGATCAAGACGTTAGGGAGGACCTCGAGGTCGAGCCCATCCCATCGACGTCTAGCAGCACGTACCGAAGCCAAACAGAGAAGCTACGATCAAGGTCAGGCCTGCCAATTGCAGGCTCTGGCCCCGTCCTTCCTGCCCTGTGCATTATATGCAAGATGAAGGAGAAAATGATCATCAAAGCAGGCAAGCGACAAAGGGATCAACTGTGTAAGACTGAAACATTATCAGCAGGTAAGCAAAAATCTAAAATGCAAACACACACACACACACACGCACGCACGCACGCACTCTCTGTGGTTGAATAACTGAAAGGTACAATTATGTGTGAGAGATACGTCAACAAACTCATTGAGTTGTCCTTTTTTTCCGTTTAGGCAAATTGCAGAAAGCTGCTGAGAAGAAAGATGACCAAAGCGTTCTTTTACATATAAAAGACAAAGACTGTGTGGCTCTGCAAGGCCAGCTTTAAACAAAATGTGTATGACAGGCCTGTTTGGAGAAACAGTTTTTAAGTCTTGCTGTTTGCACAGACATGTGCAACTTCCTCAACTACTCAACTTCCTCTTGACTGCCTTTTTTTTTGTTTATTTTATTTGAATATATTTACTTATTTGCGTGTCCTTGTTTGTCTACCCTCCCTCTTATTGTAAAGCATATTTGAGTTGTGAAAAGCGCTATATAAATAACATTTATTATTATTATTATTATTATGTACCAGTTGGCAACATGGAGAACAGCTGATGTGTTTGTGTTTGTGATGACGTGGGCCTTTATTTGGCTTCTTTGGTGTTACATGTGCTGTATGGCAGATAGGTTCTAGTCTGTAATGTCTTGTATCACCTCCACCACTCTCTGCTTTTGATGGTACTCCTGTGACTTGTAATTGTCACTGTTTTGTTGTGTTACAGACAGGATCTGTTGAAGAAGAGGCTGGCTCAAGATTTCCCTCAGCTAGCGTTTCACATGCCCACCAAGCGCAACATCTGCGAACTGGTTTTTGCTGAGACTCTGTCAAAGGATGCACTCGTGGACATGCTACCAGATCCATCCGGTACGGAAACAACACAGTCCAGTGAATTGAGCCAGACAGACAGCGACAATGAAACAGGGAGAACAAAGTGCCAAACAACACAGGAGGACACAAGGACACTGTATACAGCAGCGTTGTTTTTGAAAAGACTGCCTAGTGACACTCCTGGCATGTCATGCCCATGGCCTCCCACTTCTGAAAATCTAAATGTCACTGAATCTCAAACTGTTGTCCCCATTGGACTATACAATCTGGTCAGCTGGATTATAGGTGCCACTGAGGAGCCAACACTTTATCATTATGTCAACATTGATGATGACGTACATTTGAAAGTGTTGTCTGTTTGTCAAGACATTGTGTACCTTGCTTCCAAGGGGCGCAAGCAGACACCCAAGTCCTTGGCTTTAGGTTTAACTGTTCGACATTTAACTGGATCATCACGTATTGTATCACTGCTTAACAGACTGGGACATTGTGCATTATGGGACACAGTTTTGAGTCTAGACACTAGCCTTGCCCAACTGACACTAGTAGAAGGCAGAGACAAAATACCGAAGGGATTCTCAAAGCGGACACCCACAACACTTGTGTGGGATAACATTGACTTTGGTGAGGAGACACTATCGGGCCGTGGAACTACTCACCATACAAATGGAATTATGCTCCAGAGTTTGCCCGTCGAGCCACAGCAATCAGACAGCCACTGAGAAAGGGAGTTACCTCATTCATAGCCCCCCCCCCCCCCAATGCCTATACAACCTTACCATCAGTCCAAAAGTTAAGGGCCACAGATAGGCCGCAAGGTGAACCTCGAAAAGTCCTTTAGAAAAGAAATCCCGCTCCACAGAAGTGGAACTACATAATCTTTAGTTCATAAAAAAGAACGAGTCATGCTTATCCACCAAAGAAAAGTTCGTCGCTAAAATTCCTGTAAATTCTTCTTGGCACATAATTATTGGCTGAACTAGTCCCTTCAAAGCGTAATAATATCTTGGTCAAAAGTAGTGCCACGGTTCGTCACGTGATCGTGCTACACCAATTGGGTAGCTGCATATTGTCAACAGAAGTGAAAGATGGCCGCCAACATGGTTACGCTAAACCAGACCAAATGGATTCTAAACAGTGCTGTATGCTTGTTTTATGTCATGTTTTGTCATATGTCTTAATACATCACTAATTCCGAGGTATTTGCGTTATATACGCGGTATTTGTGAGAGGTTTTACTATCTGGGAACAGAGTTGACCATCGAATCAACATTGGCTAGCAGCGTTTATCAGCCAACTCCAGCTACAACAACATTCCTGGACTACCATGTTCGCATCGCTAGGTTCATTGGCTGAGCTAGTTGATTATTCCATTAGACTGAGGACTTTTGTCTGTCTGTCTGTTGTTATTGTTACCCTGTACACGTTAAATGCACTCTTAAAATAAACATGACTTGATTTCATACATAGCTGCGTCCAAGAAGAAGGTTAACTTGTTACATTAAGTAATTTAGATCAATAAAATGCAGTACTTACACCAATGTCCATTGATTCATTTATTTACTCATTCATCCCTCCACAAATGAAAACAACACTGATGAACCATAAAAACGATATTTATTACAAATATAAAAGGTATGACATAGAAAACAGTACAAAACAGAATAAGGACACTCCTATTCCTCACTGTCAGTGTCAGGGCAGTCATCGTTCTCTTCCTCTGTTTCTTTTTTATTTGCACAATTTGAGCAACGACATAAGTCTGAGCAACAGAGTCCTGCAGAGAAGCATGACTCTTTGCAGCTGCAGTGTATCACATTCAACACACTGTCAGGGGCAGGATTTCTTGTCATCGAGGTGACGTGTAAGTTCCCATCCTCTATTTCCCAACCATATCCAGCAGGTGATGGAGCATTTATTTCTCTTTTGAGACAGGACCTCATTATTGCTGCCTGGTAATTTGCCCTTTTGCAGTGCTGATGGAGGGCATCAGGAGTAGGGGGAATGTTTAATTCTGGCAAGGCCGATGATGCCATACAGAAAGCCTTGTACCTAGCATCATTTACATTTTCGGCTGCTGGCTGATCATATAGGTGACATACATACCGACAAAGAAGTGCAAATGTTGATTGCTCCAAGTTAAAGTTAGTACCTAAACTTCTAAAAGCCTTAAGGTAGTCATCTTTCTCACATGCAACAGCAAATGACTTTCTTTTACCTTTGCCATAGAAAGCGCTTGTGGAGTCACACCCAGAGAACGTGTGAATTCCAATCAAGGCTGAACACACACTGGTTCCGAGAGCTGATGACACCATGGCAATGTCAATGATCCGTGTCCTGTTGCCAGTCCCTGTGAAAACATATAAGCTGCATGGCAAATCTGCCTGCAGACTTACAGCAATGACTGCCACATCAGTGTCAGAGCTCTAGATGACGACAGCTTTGTGCTCCTGTGCAGCATGTTGGGCATGTAAAAACACCCGTGTGTCACATTCCTCATGATCACACTGCAGGTCTTCAACAACATCAACAGACTGTACACCTTCCATGACAGTTACACAGTGGCATTGATTTTGATGGGCAATGTACAAGCTTAGGTTTTTACCCACTGTTGTGAGGTCTGCATATGTCCATGCCACATAAAGGAATTCGGCCAGTGCTTCCTTATTTTTTCCGTCAGAGAGAAACTTCTTCCACTGGGTTGGAGTTCTCTGATCTGGGCTGAAGATTGTTATTAGTTGTGACCCTGCATCAGCTCTACGGGACCGTTCTAGGCTTTTGATGCTGATGGGTGGATACCGGTCAGTGACAAAATCAATGCGTGTACACTTGTGATGCAAAGCAAGTTGGAGTATGCTCTGCAGTATGGTCTCTGCAAGCTCTCCAAATGTTGCTGGTCTGGATCGCATGGCCTGCATGACTGCCATGCCATCAAAAAGAATGGCACCACCTATTGGAACTTTGTCAACCAAGCACTCTCCACCTTTGCTCTCCAATAGATCCATGAGAGCTGATTTGTTTGTTTTGGCAAGTGAACCATCAGCACTTGCTAATGGATATGACACAGTTCCCAAGGAATATGACAGAATTTCCTTCATTTCAATGTTCCTGCTCTGGCCAAGGATGAGGAGCCTGGAAAATAACTTCTTGTCAGCACGCAAAATCACTTCCTTGCCTGCTGCAGATTTTTTGGGGGGCTTTTTCTGATCACTGAGAGTCTTGAGTTTTTGTGATATTATGGGGGCAAATATGTCAGCTGTTTTGGATAACAGTCTCTGCTCCGTAAACTCCTTTACTGCATTTTCACCATTTTCTGAGGCAACAAGCAAATCCTTTGTGATTTCTCCTGTTGCTACTCTTCCAGAGCTAAGACACACAATGCCGTGTTGGTGTACATCAAAAGGGTTGAGCATGGAATCAATAGTGTCCAAGATTTTAATCACAGCCTTTGCATCAGCAGAGATGCGTGTCTTGTCCAGGTATTTTCTTGTCCGTAGCTCAGGATATATCCCTGCCATTGATTCACACTGTCTTGCTATCGCGGCTCTTTCATGCTGTGACAGTATCCAGCGATACACTGCAGACCGATTTTGTGTGATCCCTGTCCAGCCACCTTTGGTCTTGGCATCTCTGTTAAGTGTTTGCTCAATAGCCTGGTCGCAAGCAATGGAGGCAAATCCATGAACACTTTGTCGCTGGACAGTCCACTGGCCTTTCACATTCATGTCACTGTGGCAAGAGGGATGTGTGACAGGCAGATTCATCATTTCCAGCCAGTATGCAGGTAAATATCGAGCGTAATTTACTCTATCGTAGGCAAAAAACCATGGCATCATTAACCGGACGGTTGACAGGTGAAGCTGCCAGTTTGATTCTCGCATTGCTCTCACAAACAGGAGGAGTAGCTGCATCATGTCAATGTATGAGCTCCAGAAAGCAAATGTTGCATTCTCTGTACTCCTCCTCTGCACAAAGTCTGCATATTTCGAGCACATATTATCAAACCTCTGATCTGCACTCAAAACATCCATCAATCTGTCTGGAAAGGCACATTCCATCTCAGTGATGACATCCATGCACGCAGCTCTCTCTTGGGGTGGCAAGGAGTCCATGAAGGTGATAAACCGGATGCTCTGCAGACTCTCATATAGAAATGTATGAGCCCTCATGCTGCGATTGTAGTGATGGCCATTGAGTACCCCATTGATGGATCCTGGGGCAACAACTTCAGATTCAATGAGGATATCTTGCAGTCCTGCATCTCCAAACCTTTTGCCTAGAATACTCAGGTAGGACATGCATGTATGGAATTCACCTAGTCTAATCACTAGACGCTTTGTAAACTCAACATCCTTCCAGCGTATTTGCTGTGCTTTGGCATATAGCCTGGTCAAACACTAAAACTATATGATCCAGTTCTAGCTGGTCAGCAATCTGGACACTTCGCTTCAGGATAGTGTTGACTGTTGACATCTCTGTTGGTGAGGCTTCAATGACTGGAAGATAATACAATGCGGACTTCTGCAGAGTGTTTTCATCCTGAAGCAGTGTATGGAACCCTGTCCAGCTTGGGATTGTACAACTATCCGTACATGTGGACTTCACAAAAGCATATGCCATTTCAGCTTGTGCAGCAAAGTGGGTGTCCATTCTGCATGTCGCTGACTGCACTGGTTGACACAAGTTCTTAGGCCATAAGGTGAACCCTGTTATCATTTCATCCCGCTCCACAGAAGTGGAACTACACAATCTTTAGTTCATAAAAAAGAACGAGTCATGCTTATCCACCAAAAAAAAAAGTTTTTCGCTAAAATTCCTGTCAATTCTTCTAGGCACGTAATTATTGGCTGAACTAGTCCCTTCAAAGCGTAATAATATCTTGGTCAAAAGTAGTGCCACGGTCCGTCACGTGATCGTGCTACACCAATTGGGTAGCTGCATAGACTGGTATCAACAAACAGATTTGGAAAAAATGGCGACCGCCATGGTTTCATCGAGAAGCGGGGACGAGGAAAACGCACCAGAAAGTCTCAAAAAGTCAAAATTATCAACACACAAACATTGTTACATGTATATTACGTCTGTGAAGCACGAAAAGGTTGATTATTTGACCAATACAAGATGGAATACGTACAGGACAAGCTTACAACGGTGGCTCGGCTTGAAGGGAGACTCTCGGAACGTGGTGGCTGAAAACCACAAGCACTGTCTTGATTTCGAGTTCGAAGATATTCCTGAGGACGCTGGCTTCCACCACACATGCTACAGAAGGTTTACTGACAAAAAGGCCATGACGAAGGTGGAAAGACGGCTCGCACGTGAGGGAGATCAAGACGTTAGGGAGGACCTCGAGGTCGAGCCCATCCCATCGACGTCTAGCAGCACGTACCGAAGCCAAACAGAGAAGCTACGATCAAGGTCAGGCCTGCCAATCGCAGGCTCTGGCCCCGTCCTTCCTGCCCTGTGCATTATATGCAAGATGAAGGAGAAAATGATCATCAAAGCAGGCAAGCGACAAAGGGATCAACTGTGTAAGACTGAAACATTATCAGCAGGTAAGCAAACATCTAAAATGCAAACCCCCTCCCACACCCACACCCACACATTCTCTGTGGTTGAATAACTGAAAGGTACAATTATGTGTGAGAGATACGTCAACAAACTCATTGAGTTGTCCTTTTTTTCCGTTTAGGCAAATTGCAGAAAGCTGCTGAGAAGAAAGATGACCAAAGCGTTCTTTTACATATAAAAGACAAAGACTGTGTGGCTCTGGAGGTGCGGTACCACAAAAGCTGTTACAGTCAGTACATCAAGTTTTTGCTGAGACCTGACAAACCAGAGACAGAACAGTAAGTTATTTCTCCTTGGATTGCTTTACCTATATGCACTACCACCAGAGTGAAGTCCAGGTGTGTGTCGGCGATGGCTATATATATATATACTTAACATTATATAAGTAAACATCCAATTTCCTTCTGTTATATGTGCACACAATCACAACACTTATTCATTTATCCATTTATTTACTTCTCATTCATGTGTTGAAGGGATGAGCCAATGTTTGATGCCAGTTACAAGCTGTTCTGTGAGAGGATCATCCGCCAGAGGCTGCTTGTCAACAATGAGGTGCTTAGAATGGGCCAGCTGAGGAAGGCCTTCATTGACATGGTGAAAGCAAACGAAGGTGTTGATGCTTCAAACTACAGGTAACTGCAATGTAATACAAGTCTTATTATTTATCATGTGCAAGGCCAGCTTTAAACAAAATGTGTATGACAGGCCTGTTTGGAGAAACAGTTTTTAAGTCTTGCTGTTTGCACAGACATGTGCAACTTCCTCAACAACTTCCTCCAAAAAAAAAAAAAAGCCAAAGGGGCTGACTTGAAATGTCTTATCAGTCAACACACAAGGATATTCAGTTAAATATGGTATACAAACTGAAAAGAACATTCCCACATGTGGGTAAAAAATTCTCCCATGTTGGCATGAACAATTAATTATCAAAACATGACATGATCCTTCCAAAAGGACACATTATTTATATAGAATATCAGACATACAACATGTTTGTCATAAAAATTGAAAAATAAATTGTGCAAAATTATCTGTTTTGACCCATGTGCCCTTCAACAGCTAAAAATCCACAAGCATCAATTTACCTCAACATTATTGTTCCTATGCTGCACATTTACATGATAAACACTACGTCCTGCATACTGGTAGGAGACAGGCCTTTGAACACTACATAATGCTGATACACTGTACTGGCTAGAACACAGTTTATTATCATACAGTGTGGTGTCCCGGGCTGTTCAAGATCCCAGAGACACAGTCTGCAGACCGGTCTGCAAAGGCGTTCGGTTAAGTGGTTCAACTTCCCGCTGCCCCAGAACTGAAGGAGAAGGAGCAATTATTCCAGCAGCTGGCCAAAGCCCCGTCTTTTGAGAGGTGTGTGGGTGACGGCGGGTGTCATATATTTGTCAAGATGCCATTTTACCCAGGACTACCTCAAAAGTAAGCTCTTCCCATTCATCTGTGCCCAATTGTGTAGGGTTTTGTATCATTTTACCCACTCACTTAGCTATTTGTTATTTAATAAACAGCATTAGTACTTGTATTGTGTATTTTAATTTGTCTGAGTCTGATTGAAAGGTACAAACGCATCTTCGGTATATAAGTTTCACTATTCAGTTGGCAGTTAAACCTGGAGTAAAGCTTATGAAGACCAGCCAACTCACTAGTTGTATTATTTTTTTCTTCCCTAAATAATAAAGTGCAGTATGAACAAAATGCATGATATTTGTAGTTAGAAAAGTTAAATAAATAACAAGTTTAATTTGCAGTCATTTACTTTGTTGGAAGGTTTGGGTTCATTTATTGTTTTTTTATTAAAATATAAGTTGTACGAATTGTAAATCTAAGAATAAGTAACTTTTGATGGATATAAATAATATTTTGAATAAACATACTATTGTATTTGTATTGGAATAGTATGGCTCTGTACTCTCTTTTAGGGCATTTCATTGTGTGGGACGGTGGCTATCCTTGCATTGAACAGCCATCTTGACCTTCCATCAGGAGCGACTGCATGGGAAGGTGCAGAGCAGAGAGCCAACAGCACTCTGCTGAAGCCCCTGCGAAATAAAGCGGCCTTTGGTATGATGGAAGTACAACGGAGGCGCCTGTTGTTGACGCCCTGAAGGTAGAACATGCTTTTTGGTCCTTTAGTTGTAACAGGTTAACTGAACAACATTTGTTTGACATCTGTTTAACTTTAGCTTGCAAATGTAAAGTGTTTAAATAACCTTTGTGTTTTAATGTCAAGTAAAAGGTGAACATACAGTACATTGATCTAACAAAAAACTGTAGTTCTTCAAAAAGTTTGATAAACCTATTTGGGTTTTGTTGCATGACCAGAGGCCTTTACTTCTAACAAGTTAAAACCCAGTACTTCTGCACAGTTACAGATGAAGATGTTACTAATATTTGTTTATAATAGAATAAGAATAGATTCCAGATATGACTGCGTAGGGTTGTTTAAGACGGTCTTAGAACAGATATTTGGTTATAGTTTCCACTTGGGACTTCCTCATTTATTTGTCAATCTACTAAACCAACTAGGTGCTACCAAAATATGGTAGCTGTGTCAAGAGACATGAGTCTATTGTATATCCTTTCTAGCAGAAGGTAGCACAAGTGTTGTGATGCTTTAATCAACTGAAAGTGCAACGTTTTTTATTATGGCATTGGCAGCAGAGATTTGTCACATTTTTCATGGGCGCAACCCACATACTCAGCTCTGCTGCTCATCCCACAGATGCATGTTCCTCACAAGTTGTGGCATCCATTTTGAAAGGTAAATAAACAGGTTTTCCAACGGTAAACATTTATTAACAAGAAGCATTGTTACTGCAAAGAAATAATCTACCAAACACAGATTTACTTACTTTTTGTGTTAAGTTTATATCAAATATAGCAAATATCTTAGTTCATACAAAAGTAGTTATGTCCCATATTTTTGTGCATCATAATATTTTTATAATTGTTGTTGAGAAGTGATGTGTGCAGTGGACTGGGAAACAAGCAAACCACATGCAGCTCCACATGATGTTGGAGGTGAGTCGTGCAAAATGTTATTTAGTTCTCATCATGTTATTGTGAGTCATGTGGTTTATAACTATCAGCATCTCTAACTTGCAGGTCCAGCATGATGCATATTATTTATCTTAAGCATCGACTTCAAAGGGAAGAAAGAGCTCTAATGGGTCCGACTAGAATGACAAATAACGTTAGTTCCGCCTATGCCGTCAGCAAAGAAATCGTTTAATCATAAACTTTTCATTTTTAGGGGGGCCACAGGGGGGTCCAAAGTCAGTGTTAGGGGGCACTGGCCCCCGTTGGTCCTCCCCTAGTACCGCCCATGATCTGTAGCAACATTTGTTTTTCAAAGTTTGGTCTTATTGTAGCCAAGCTTAAAGCCAAAGTATCATTATACAACAGAGGTGATGTTTTATTTGGCCAACAGTTCAGTGTCTACCTAAATAACTGTAATGCTAACTGAAAAGGCTAAACTCTTTACCAAAGACATGTAATGAGTATTAATACAATTGTGTAAAAATGGACATTGTACAGTATACTTGATCCTCAGTGTAAGTGTATATGTCCTATATGTTTGCCCTTTTTCCTGTAGCCCATACTTTGGACTGTGAAACAGCCAATTGCATCATTAGTTTGTTGTCTGATCATACTGTGATTACAGCAATATTTATTTCACTGGGTTCAAGGCTTTACTGGAATAAACTTGAACTGTGATCAGCAAACATATAAATAAACCTTCTGCCTTTGCTCCAAACGTCGTGTCAACATGTTTAATAACGGTGCAGCCCTCAGCAGATAGGCGTATTATGGGGTGTCATAATATGCCGTTGCCATGGCGACAGATCACTTGCCATCAAACACAATGTTTATGTTCCTGCTGTAACTCCTATATAAACTGTCCGATTGGCCGAAACTTCCCACGTTTGCCCCCGGACGAGTCCGGAAAGCATCTACGTGACGTGTCGACGTACTGACAACAGCGGACATGCACGGAGCTTTACTTGGGTTTATTATTAAGGCATCAGACTCCAGAAATGAACTGACAGGGCTTACAGGATATGAAAGAAACGATAAATAAGTCTGAATAGGTCGGCCTCCTCAGTGAAACCATACAGTATGCAACTTGCTCAAAAAGTTGGAGCAAAGCAGTCTTGCACCTGTACCAGAAGATGGCAGCAGAGTAAAGAGAGACAGAGATATACTGATATCCAAGTTGAGTCAGCATTGGAAATACAAGTGGTACAAACAGAGATATATTGGGAACGTTAGAAACACAACAATTTGAAAATGAAGCAAAAGAAGTTGCTTTAATCAGAAGTAAGTCTTTAACATGAAGATAATTACATCGGACCCTGTAGGAATTAAACTGCAGATTTGTAGGTTTGCCATGAGTGTTTATTATTATACATTTAGTCCAAAGTAAGGGAATAATAATAACACTTGTTTGGATTCTCTTTGCTATTTTTGAAAAAGGAAAAAAAGAGAAATTACCCAAATGAATATATTCTGAATGGGTGACTACCAACCACTTGCATTTCAATGACAACTCTAAATAACGATCCTACCTCAAGAAGCATGTCCTTGATCTGCTTCACCGAGATTCATTTTGAATAAAAAGTGATATCACAATAGTAACAAAAGTATTTTTACTCTCACAGTAGCCTCTACTACTTTGTATCCTCTCATAGAACTATTCACAGTTCAAAGGCTGCTAATTTTGGTCAAACAGCAATTTGCCTATACAGTGCAACTACAAGGCTATCTACTGTATTTGAATGACAAAAGATGACACTCACCTTAAAATGTCCTTTGTATATTTATATTTGTCTTAACTGTGGGAACTTGTCCAGGCATGTTAAGTGGGAGTGGACTTGAAATCCTTAACTCAAGGTGTAGAACAATTAAGTTATCAAGCCAATTGCATTACTTACTACAACTTGAATTTAGTTTTAAGTCAATTAACGCAGAAATCAGAGTTCAAATTACACACAATATTAAGTTGATGTACTTACCAACATTATTACGGCAACACAACTTATAAAGTAATGTTTGCAACTTCAAATGTTTATCTAAATCAATTAACTCACATTTTTATCTTGCAACCATGCATTTAATTAAGTTGAGGTGAAAGGTCGCCTGAATTCGTTTTTAGAGTGTAAGAGACAGGCCTTTGGACTACATAATGCTAATACACTGTACTGGCTAGAACACAGTTTATTATCATACAGTGTGGTGTCCCGGGCCGTTCAAGATCCCAGAGACACAGTCTGCAGACCGGTCTGCAAAGGCGTTCGGTTAAGTGGTTCAACTTCCCGCTGCCCCAGAACTGAAGGAGAAGGAGCAATTCTTCCAGCAGCTGGCCAAAGCCCCGTCTTTTGAGAGGTGTGTGGGTGACGGGTGTCATATATTTGTCAAGATGCCATTTGGACCCAGGACTACCTCAACAGTAAGCTCTTCCCATTCATCTGTGCCCAATTGTGTAGGGTTTTGTATCATTTTTCCCACTCACTTAGCTATTTGTTATTTAATAAACAGCATTAGTACTTGTATTGTGTATTTTAATTTGTCTGATTCTGATTGAAAGGTACAAACGCATCTTCGGTATATA